AAAAAAAAAAAAGACTAAAGACTAAATAAAAGAGTGAGAAATAAAAAAAAAGTCGACTCTTCTGAAATAAAAAATTACCAAACAAAACGCAGAAAAACCCTATCTCTACCTTTCTGCCTCCATTGCCTACATCACCAGCAGCAACTCCGGTCAGTGCCCGTTCGAATCTCGTCGTGCGGTCACATCTTCGTTCGTGAAAACCTCTGCAACTCCAACGGTATCTTATTTCTTATGTTCGTGAACACTTCGCGACTCCTACCATTTTCTCCGGCAAGTTAACCATGTTCTCTGTTCGCTGTTCGTTGTTCTCTCGTCCAACTAGAGCGCTGCCGTTCGCCCCTGTTCGCGGCAAGATTGTATCCAGCAGCTCTCGTGGTCCGAGTGCCCGACCGACCAGCTCTTCGTCACAGGCTCTCAGTCACCGTCACAGGCTCTCCATCACAGGCTCACAGGTATGGAGGGTTCAAATAATGAAATGCTATCGACACAATCTAGCCGTGGAAAATCTGATCCTGCTTAGGAGTTTGTCAGTTTAATTCGTGAGAATGGGAAGTCCACATACACTTGTTTGTTCTGTAAGAAACAATTCAAAGGTGGAGGAATTCATCGAATGAAACATCATTTAGCTGGGAAGATGGGCGAAATAGCTCCGTGTAAGGAAGTGACGCACGATGTTAAATCTCGGATGGCAGCATACTTGAATGAAGTAAAGCAAAAAAAGGATCCTAATTATGATGATTATGAGGAAGGGAGCACAACAAATGCACCTGAAGAAGTGCGAGAAGTACTCGAGCCTGCTCCAGCTACTTGTAAAGGGAAGAGAAAAGCCGTCGCTGGTCCTGTCTCAGGGCATCCTACTGCCTTCTATCTTCCTTTCCTAAGTGTCCGTATGGATAGATATTTTGCGTCGAAGACAACTCCAGGATCTCAACCAGGCCTTAAAAGTGTGTTTGCGACCAAAGAGGTGGTGAAAAATGCTAACATGGCTCTTGCTCGATAGTTCTACGCCAATTGCATTCCATTTAATGCGACCCAATCGTGTTATTTTTTGCCAGCTTTAGATGCAATTGCTGCCATTGGACCTGGATTTAAAGGTCCTTCATATAATGAAGTTAGGATGAACTTGTTGGGAGATTGCAAAAAAGAGTGTGAGCTTCTAGTTGAAAGTTATCGAAGCAATTGGAAGAGCTCTGGGTGCACACTTATGGCAGATGGTTGGAGTGATCAGAGGCAAAGAACTTTGATTAACTTCCTGGTATATTGTCTCACAGGTATGACATTCATTAAATCTGTTGATGCTTCAGACATGGTGAAAGATGCAAAAAATATGTTCAATTTGTTTGTTGATGTTATTGAATGGATTGGGCCTGCAAATATTGTGCATGTAGTGACTGAAAAATGCAGCAAATTATGTAGCAGCTGGAGAGTTGATTCACGATAAGTATGAAAATATTTTTTGGTCCCCATGTGCAACACATTGTTTGAATCTGATATTGAAAGACATCTCTTCATTACCTCATATAAGCCAACTTGCTTCTCGTGCTTCCAAGATTACTATCTTTGTCTATAATCATATGATATTTTTGTCGTGGCTTAGAAAAAGGCCTGGTTGGAAGGAGATAGTACGTCCAGGAGTTACTCGATTTGCTGCGGTCTTTATTACTTTAAAATGCATTTGTGATCATAAAGAGGACTTGCAAGCTTTGGTGGTTGATAAACACTTTACTGGTCATAGATTAGCTAAAAGTGTTAATGAAAAAAAAGTTTGTGAAACCATATTGGATGCTAAATTTTGGCGAGAATGCCAAGTTGCGGTTAAGCTTGCAGGACCTCTTGTTAGACTGTTGCGAATTGTTGATGCGGACGAAAAACAGTCTTTAGGGTATGTGTATGAAGGAATGCAAAGGGCACAGATGTTCGGAAAAAGAAAAAGTGTGTACAAGCCTTACAAATTATTAAGGCTCGATGGGATAACACTTGCATCGTAGTATCCATGTTGCAGCTTATATTCTCAATCCTGCTTTCTTTTATGATGAAAGTTACAGTGAGAAACATAGAGTGCTGAATGGATTACTTGATATATTGGACATCAAGAGCCTATGTAATGATTCGATTAGAGCAATGAAAGAGATACATGTATATAGAGAGTGCAAGGATAGTTTCGCTAAGCCATCTTGTTTACAGGCTGCAAAATCACTTGCACCAGGTAAAATATTATCTATAGTTATATAATTCTTTTTACGTGCATATTCTACAATTCATTTATTTTTAATAAATTTTGTTTCTATTTTATTATTGCAGATGAATGGTGGAGGTTGTTTGGCGGGAGTGCTCCCATATTAAAAAATATTGTCATCCGCATCTTGAGTCAAACTTCTTCATCATCAGGATGTGAACGAAACTGGACTTTGTTTGATATGATCCACACCAAAAAAAGGAATAGATTGGAGCACCAAAGGCTTTGTGATCATGTTTACATCACTTACAACTTGCATTTGAAAGATAGGTAGGTTAATATTATTATTTATTAATTAATATGTGCAAAGTTTCTTTTGTTGGCATTTGTTACATTTTGAATTTCTCTAAATTAATTATAATTTCTATATTATAGGAAGCATCAAAAGAAAAGATCTTATGATCTAATTGATTATGAAAGCATTGACAGGCTTGATTTTTGGGTGGTGGATGAAGATCCACGACCAGAATTTGATGAGAATGAAGTTGAAAACTTAATTTATTATGAACAAATTATTCCAATTGTTGGTAAATTGTTTGCTTACAAATAAATTTTATCATTTGGTATATTTATTTTGATCTATGCTCCTTTTTTTTTCATTTACGTAGATCGCAATGAAGTTAACATGGACATAAATATGCCCGATTCATCCAATTTAAACTCCGGCGTTTTTGCCAGACGGTCTTTGCCAGTAGTGATGGTGGATATGATGGAAATGGGGAAGATGAAGATGATCTTCTTGGTTATGGTTATGCCGATGATGGATTTGGAGGAGTTAGTGGAAATTATGATGATTCGTTCTAGTCGGTGAATTGTGTTGTTTTGTAATGGCTTTGATATTTGAACTTGAACTACTTAAACTATTTTTTTTTTTCTTTTCAAAAAACTATGAAAATATATATATAATTATATATTATACATATAAAATAAATCAATAAATTATATATTAGTTAAATCGGTTCGACCTGTTCGACCACTGGTCTGACCAGTGAACTATTGAACCAGTAGCTTCACCGGTTCGATGATCGGTCCGGTTTTCAGAACATTGGTTTTAACCATCCGATCATATATACTCATAGGTACTAATAGATATGTGTTGATTGAACGGTTAAGATCTTTGGGTTCGAACCGTACTCGCACAGGGCGGGTATAGCCTGATCGGACGGTTAAGATCATTGGGCTTGGACCATTTATACTCACACAGTGCGAGTACATACTGATATGACGGTTTAAGATCCCGTCAGTGCCCTTAATCAAAAAAAATATTTGTTAACCACCAAAATAAGAAGGAATCATCATGCGCCTAGTCGTATTCATGTATCTTCGAATTCAAATCGTTGAGATTATGACCATCTAACAAAGTTGAAAATAATAATGGACTTTAGATTTACTGATAATATTAAATATGTATTAGAATCTTGAAGAAAATTGGCTGAACTTGATTGGTCTGCTTTAGGGGAAGAAGGAAAAATTAGGTTGAGCTACAATTAAAATTTTGATTATACATAAATCGGCGCGGCTCGTTAAGTGTTTATAATCAAGATCGAGCTCATCTCGTTTATCAATACTATTGCGTTGAGCATGCGCCTGACGAGTTGAAAATCGAGCTTTAACGAGACGAACGGTAGAAAATTAGATTTTTTTTTTCTTGAGTCTTTTAACTCGTTAACCAAAAGAGCTTTAATTGAGCTCAAGCTCGATGCGTTTATCAAACGAGCAGAGTCGATCTGAGTCGAGCTGACGAGTGACTCATTTCATTTAACTACTTTATCCAATATACATCTTTTCTTTTATTTTTTTTATTTTTTATTATTTTTTTTTTTTACGTTGGATTAGTCGATCTTATGGTTATAATGCATTATTCACATTTTTACCTTTTTTGACAAATGTAGCATTGTTCAAATCATTTAAATAAAAAAAAAATATTCATTAATAATGATACATTGATACTACTCGAATAAAATAAATTCCTTCAATCCTATGGGTACTTTTATATAATTAATTAGCCACCAATTTCAATTTACGCGAGATTTGTTTGACAATTTAACCACTTTTCTCTCCTAGTAACTACGCTTTATAAGTTAGATAAGTTAATTTTAAAATTTCTCCATTGTAAGAAAATGTAAATTTTCAATCGAGAATCTTTTGTGTTTTTGAATAAATCGGTCAAATAATTCAACGACAATAATCCAATTCAATATTTTTTTTTTTTTTTTTCCAAGGCAAATAAGCAAATTTCATAAAACTCAAACCAAAGTTCCGGTAACCAAATGGCTACAACCTTACAAGCCCAACAAATTCAGATCCTCCCAGCACGACCTAGGAAAACCTAGACCTAAAAGGCAACAAGCCTCGAAAGAAAAAACAGCACACAAACCATTAAAAGGAAGTACCAATAGAAACATTACAAAAATCCATCAAATTCTTAATACAAACGAAATCGGAACATAAACCTGCTTGAGACCTAAGGCTATCAGATAAATAGGCCACCAAATCAGCAGAGTGCAGCAACAAAATCACTACATCTGTTATCCTTAGCCATAGTTAGGCCCCAAGCAATTGCCATCAACCAACTTTCTCTCCCATGCACAGAAAAAAATTTCAATATTTCCACATGAAATTTTTTTAAGGAAAAAAAGAAAAAAATCATCTGCAATTTTCTTTCTATTTATATATTTACGAATTTTGTTCAATTACAAATATATTAACTTTTTACAAATGATTAATTTTTTACTACTTTTATAAAAACAATTCGTTATAAGTTGCATTTTTTTTTTTAATTTACGACATTTTTGTGAATTATTAATTTATTATTTTATTTCAATGATAGTATATTTATTAAAAAAAAATAAAAAAGTATAATATTCAAAAAGTACCTATGGAATTAGACATGACCAAGGGCCGCCCGACACTCCGACCCGACACGGACCTGCACGGACATGATATGGACAAATTCGTTCACTACGGGTCCGAAACCGGACCGAGTTTCAACAGATCGTTTCAGGGTCATCAATTTCATGATCCGGCCTAGTGGTCCAGGCCAGGTCTATAGCCCGCTTTTTCTATTTTTTTAAAAGTTTTTCTATTATTTTTATAAAAAATTGACGGACCTCTCCGACCCGAGTTTTGGCCATGTCTACACGGAAATTTATAACGGGACCAACGACAAAAGCCCAAAACTACGTTATCTCCTTATTTGATTTTCTCTCTCTGAATTCCATTTACTCTAATAAAGGTCACATGTGACGTCACATTTAGTTTAGTTTCTCTCTCTCTCTTCCTTAATTAAAAAAATAAAAATAAAAAAAAAAAATAAAAAAAAAAAATAAAATATATATCTGTAAAATATTTTGCCAGGTTTCTCCAATCCTCTGCATTCTCTGTCCGTCCGAGGTACGCTAATTACGCAATTAATTTATTTTTTAAGGTTTTGTTGTTCATTTGTTCGCCGCTGACTGATCGGAGATTTAACCATTAGATTTTCATAAGAAATATATCTCTTTAAATCCTTTTTTATGATCTGACCGTTGATCGGAGCTCCCAATCTCCGGCAATTGCCTGTCGAAAATCATTAAAAATGCATAAGTAATGTAATATTTGGTACACATATCATATACAATACACGATTCTCTCTAGCTGAAGTACACAACATCTTTTTTCGATTAGGTCTCTGGCAAAAATGGATCTCACTCTAAGACTCTTCAGTTATCCGAATGGATTTCTAGTCGAAAACCAATCGGAGGTTGGTAGTGTCGGTAGCAACGGGTATGCTATTGGCTCAATCGATCTTAATTCCTTCCCGGATAACGATGAATCTCTTACGAGCCACATTGTTTCCGGCTCGACTATTGGCTCGTCGAATGCTCCGGACATTGTCACGGATAAGTCGAGTAGCGAGAGTCGGGTGGTTTGGGATTTCGGCAAGGGGATTAGCCGGTCGATTCCTGATGGTAGCGACGAGTCGAGTGTCGGTGGAGTATTTTCGCTTGAGGACAACAGGAAATGTGGTCGAAAGGATGAGGTGAATGTTAAGAAATCGCGTTTGGGAACAGGGGAGGAACAGAGATTGCCCGATGTTTGTAAGGAGTCCAATGAGGATTTCGATGATGTGGTTTACACGCTCGACAGGCGAGAGGAGGAGCTCGCGGCTTATATGTCCGGCTTGCAAATCTCGGCGAGTAAGAGTGTTGTGGCAAATGAGAAAATTAGTAGTAATCGTAAGACGAAGAAGACGAAGATAAAGAAGAAAAATGAAGAAACGGTTGATTCGACGGCTCTGTTGATCGCCTGCGCCGAATCCATAGCCTCGGGCGATCTCCCGAAAGCGAAGGAAATGCTCGGAAAAATCCGGCAGCACTCGTCCATCTGCGGCGACGCGGTCCAGAGGCTGGCCCACTACTTTGCAGAAGGCCTTGAGGCCCGTATGTTCGGGACGGGCGGCAGCGAGGAGGCGCGAAACGGGCCGGGCCCTTCCGACTACTTGAAAGCCCACTGCATGTCGGTCGTGTTCTCTCCTTTCCGTAGAGTCCTCAACTTCGCCTCGAACTACATGATCGTGGCCCGCTCGTCGAAAGCATCGAGAATCCATGTCATCGACTTCGGCATCTCGTTCGACTTCCAGTGGCCGATCCTCATCCGGCGCCTCGCCGCGCGGCCCGGCGGCGGGCCGCCGCCGTCCCTCCGGATAACCGGCATCGATTTCCCCCTCCCGGGCCCGCGGCCCGCGGAGCGGGTCGACGAGATGGGCCGGCGGCTGGCCCGCTACGCGGAGGCCCACGACTTGCCGTTCGAGTACAAGTCGGTGGCGCGCGCGTGGGGGGACGTGACGCGGGAGGACCTAGAGATTCGGGCTGGGGAGGAGTTCGTGGTGGTCAACCTCTCCGAGAGGGCGAAGACCCTACCCGACGAGATGAATGCAGCGTTCGAGAAATCGAGGGCGAACGTGCTCGAGTTGATCCGCAAAGCGAGGCCCGATATATTCGTGCAAGGGGTGGTGAACGGGTCACACGGGAACTCGTTCTTCCTGTCTCGTTTTCGGGAGGCGCTTTTCCACTACTCGGTGGTGTTCGACATGCTTGAAACGACAGCCGGGCCGGGTGGCGGTGGGGCTGAGAGGATGGTGGTCGAGAGGGACGTGTTGGGAAAGGAAGTGCTGAATGTGGTGGCTTGCGAGGGTTGGGAGAGGGTCGAGAGGCCCGAAACATATAGGCAGTGGCACGGGAGGAACGTGAGGGCGGGATTCGAGCAGGTACCGCTCGAGAAGGGGCTGACCGGCGAGTTGAATCGGAGGTTGAAGGGATTTTACCACAAAGAACATGTGATAGTCGAGGGGAATCGGTGGCTGTTGATGAGCTGGAAAGGACGGACGTTGTACGCGCTGTCCTTCTGGAGACCGGCGAGTTGAGAGCTCGTTCTTCGATGTCTTTCGACGTTTCATACCGTGTCTTGTGATGCCATTCTATCTGGTTTTTTTGTGAGATAGAATTTGTAGGTGAAGAAATGTGAGTTAGGAAAGTAACTAAGACTTTTTTTTTCAGGCTGAACTGAAGCTTAAGGTTAGTGTTTGTTGTCATCCATAGAAAGTAACTTATCAATGACATTACTTTCAGATACTTATCTGTTTGAGGTTCACTTCAGCCTTGATTTGTCCGTTAACTGCTATTTGTTTTTGTTACTGTTTGTGTTTGTTTGAACTGTTTTGGTCTTCACAAATTGGATGTATTGTGTATGATGTGTATGTTTTAGAACATGTAACTGCAAATCTGATGTGGTGCTACTGAACTAATGTTTCAGTTCTTATATTTACAAACCAACAAGAAGTTTAAATTTAAATTGCAGTAAGAAATAAATTAAATCAAACAATATGCAAATATTTGGAGGATGGCTTCTGATTTTAAGTGCGTATAATATCATCAATAAGTAGTAGAGACCGAGATCGTTTAGTTAGGTTCGAGAAATAGGGGTGTGATTGTTTATTAGCTTAACTCGGCTCGTTAAGGTTCAAGTAACTTTGATAAGCGAGTCAAGTTAGAGCTTATTTATCGACTCGACTAGTTAACCTGATAATGGTCTACTCGAGTTCAGCTCAACTCAAACTCGATTGATTTACGGGTCATCTTGATAGTATCACATAATTCCAGTTAGTGACACTTTTATCCACGACAAGTCGCATATTTGCTGGTTCAAATAATAGAATGCTTTCATAGCCATTACTACAAATCACCGTAGTTTTAAAACTCGGACCGGTGATTGACCCCAGTTGGACTCCTGGTCAACGGGTCAATTTGTTGAACCAAGTAAATAATTTTATAAAATTTTACATTATTTTAATATTATTTATCTTGTAACAATACATAAATAATAAAAATTGAGTATTTATTTATTTACACCCCCATAGTCTTAATAATATTGTATTCTGTTATAAATATTTACCATATAAATATAATACATAATTTTATTTTTAAAATTAAAATGTAAAAAAAGATGGAAAGATATATAATGGTTGGGTCAAATTTGGGTCATTGTTTGTGTCATTTTTGTTGCTTTTTCGTGTTTGTTCTGTCTTTCTTTTTTCCTCGTTTTAGTTTTTCTTTGGGTCGTTTGTTGCGTGTTTTCATTTATTTTGGGTTTTTTTGTGTTTTAACTTATGTTTCTTGATTTTTTTTTCGTGTTCATGTCGTTTTTAGTGTGCAGGTCGGGAGCTTCGAGCAGACATTTTTTCAAGGAGAAAATGGTCCTGCAAGTATAATTAACTAGAAGGGTTTGTTGGCGAAGAGTAGGAAAAAATGGAGTTCACTTCTGAGTTTGGACGAGCTCAAACGAGCCCGAAACGTAAAGTTGCGCATAACAACCCGCAGTTGTACCCAGGCCTCGCACTACGGCAGCACGGGTCGCTCGCGCAGTGCCCTACGTCACGCCACTGTCACGACCTGACAGAGCCCCAGCTTCTTTTCGAAAGGGGAGAAGTTGTGGACCTAGGCTCGCATGAGATAGGCGATTTCGTAAAAGAATAGTCTATAGGCTTTTGGATTGAATACATGCTTGTCTGCGTCCGTACACTTGTTACGAGATTTATTGAGATCAGACCATAGGCTTGTATGTAGGCTTGAACTTTTTCATCTATGTTCAATCTCTTGTTATGAAAAGTTAATGGGATCGAATCTCCAGATGTTTAAGCGAGAGCGCCGATCTTGAACCGAACAATTATTTGTTTGGTTTTGTGTTTAATACCAAAATATATTCCCCGACTCTCTAGCCTCTTTATCATCGTTTGATTCATGCATTTGAGTTGATGTTCGATGTTGCATTTTCTGTTATTTTTAGCTGATAGTTCAAACCTCCATCCTAAATTACAGTGTTTAGGTCGTATTTTGCTTTTATGTTCGAACAAACCGATTCTAGATCCCAAATCGCCTTTCTCGAAGATCTACCCGATTCGGGAGTCATTCCATAATCGGTAAAAATATAATTTGCTACAACAGTTATTACCTAGGTAGACCAGCCGTGCTGGTCCGATCTCAAAACACTGCAAATCACTATGATTATTTGTTAACAATAGGCCAAGTTAAAAAAAAAAATGTTGTCTCCACGAAAAATAAAGATGGAAAAAGCTTTTATCAATATTTTTTTTAAAAAAAAATTATGCACAAATACAAATACAATAATTAGAGTTAATTAATATTAAAATAAATATTTCTATTCCTTAATAGCTAATATTTTGTAATTATGCAAGTGAATGGATAGTATATTTCTAGTTAAAATATAATGAATTATTTTTCTTTTATATTTTAATTATTAATAATATTAGAAAGTAAAAAATAAGATATAAAAAAGTGTATTTTCTAAAACAAAGTTTTGAAATATTATTTTCATGAAAATTGCTAAATGGACCATATTTTGTCCACATTTATTTTATGGCCACCATTTGTCGAAGTAGAAGATATTCCCGAAAAAAAAAAATAAATAAATAATAAAAACGCGGGAGATCAATTTCATCATTTTCCCCTTCTCTCGACTCTCCATGGCAAGTTTCATTTCCGTTCCCTCCGTCGCCCCAACCTTCCATTCCCGCCGCCGTGATCCAATTCTCCGTCCAAAACACGGCCGGAAACTCCGCAAACTCCGGTGCTACTCAAAGAGCCCAATTAACCATTCATCAGCCAGCGACAACAAATCCGAGCCTGAAAATCTGGTGCTGAAAATCGCTTGGTACGGATCTGAACTTCTCGGAGTAGCTGCTTCACTCCTCCGTTCACCGGCGAAGGCTGAGGACGCTGGAGCTGCCGTTGAGCTTGCCGTCGACGGATTGGGGAAAGTCGATCGAGCCGCGGTCGTGGAGACCATCAAGGAGGATTTCAGAAGATCGTATTTCGTTA